CCCCCTTTCATTTGGTTCCCCTTTCATCCGCCCCCACTGACTTTTTTCCTTCTTTCCTTTCATGTCCTTCTGTCTTCATGTCTCTTCATCCTCATCCTTTCTTTCTCTTGCGCGCACTATCGTCCGGACCTTAGTTTGTACACATACACGCACGCGTACTTTACTTACAACGAGGTTCAGGTGGCCCAGGTTCGTTACAATGAGGTTTGGCTCATCGGTTGTCCCTCTTCACTTGGTTCCCTTTCATCGGCAACCACACACACCTTTGTCTGTCTTGTCCTTCTCATTTTCATCTGTCCCTTTTGCGTGCACATGTGCCTGCCTCCTTTCCGGGCAGGATGGAGGTCACACATGCCTCCCTTCGGGGAGGCGTGTGTGTGTAACCCTTGGAATCATAGGGATCCTTTTGGATTTGTCAGGTTTGCTTTTCCGGTTTGTTTCACAGCAGGGGGACACGGCACCAGATTGCAGACCGTGTCTAACAAAGCTATGCAATCTGGTGGGATATCCAGCTTGGCCAGCTGGACGTACCTGCAATTTTCCTTTTCCGAATGGCAAGAGGCTAAGCCGAGAACCTCACGACACGGTGTTGCTTAGGGATTTGGTTCACTTTCTGCAGATGTGCACGAGTCGCCGTCACCCTGTTCGACTCGTTCGCCGTCTTCGACCTTGAGCTTTTGGCCTCACTTCTTCTTACAGACCTCCAGGTTCTTTAGGATTTTCCTGGACCTTTCAGGATTTGGGTTTCTTAGGCTGGCGTGTGGCACCGCATTCAGTTCAGTACACAATATCCTAAGTGTGTGTGTGTGTGAAGCCCTCATAGTCACAGGGAACCTTTCGGTTGTTTTATAAACTGCTCTTTTCTGCCTCCCTATACGGGAGGCGTGTGTGTGTGTGTGAAACCCGTGGAGTCACAGGGAATCTTTCGGTTTTGTGAAGCAGGCGACCATCCATGTCGTATGAGTGATGGTCCAATGAAGCGGCCACAGTGCATGCGGATATCAGGGCTGATCACCGTGACGTACCTGCTCTGTCGCGATGTTCTCAAGCTATTACTCCACCCTTCCAACAAAGGGGAGCGCCATTGAAGGTTCTACTTTCAGTTATTTAAGAATCAGGTGGAACTGAGATGGCGCCAAGCACTGGCACGGGTGGAGAACTAGTTGATCTGCTCTCATCATTGCGATGGCTGTCAATCCCAAGCCCCACAAGCAAGAATCCACATCGCACAACCTCCACAATAGTGCCCCTTAAAGAAGCATCAAGCAAGAGTGCCCCTGCAAGAGTGTACTAAGTGTACTACAAGAGCGTCATAGAAAAGAAATGAAAAGAATATCAAGAAAGGGTGTCCCACAAGAGCATACGAGCGTCACACCATCTGGGATATTGAGGCACACCTTGTCTGCTTCAACTATTACAGTAGCTGAGGTCCGCGCGTTGCACCCAATGTTCTTTGAGGTGAATGCATGCTCGAGTCGCCACCGGCACTGGCGAATAGAAAAAATGCTGACCAAAAGCCTGTTTGCACACAATGCCTTCCGACCATCATGGAGTCGTCCACCTTGCAAAGTTTCTGGCCCTTCGAGCTGTTGGAGCATTGGACAAAAGCAAAAGTAGGAAACCTGTATGCACTAAGGTATCTTGCCAACTGTTCCCTTTGTCGCGAAGCGATACAAAGCTTGTTTCGAAGAGAAAGTTCGGCAATGGCGGCACATCCAAAAAGTTGCGGCTGCCATGCACGTGGATGTGGCTGTGTAAATGTTTGGCACCCGAGATAGGCACAGGGGAGATCAGAATTACTGTAGTCTGGACAGGCAACAGCCGCGGGAGGAATTCGGGCGGTTTTGGGCGTGTCCTCTGGCATTCTGACAGACTGCGGAACCGTTGTCTGAAAGTGCATCATCATATGACCACACCCCGGATGACAAGACATCACCCTGGCACGTCGCCACATCCGAAATCAACACAGCACATCTGATACCAAACACCACGCGTCACATCGTGACAAGTTACATCATTGCATCGTGACCAACAAACCGAAACCTGACAGTGACATGTCACCAGGCACCACCCATTGCATTTTGCTCCTGGCCCGTTTCATTTTGTTTGAGACTTCCTCCTCCCAGTTCTGCGGAACCTTACTTGGTACTTCGAACGAAATCACCAAATCTTGACGAACGCTCGCCGTCATGCAATCACAACAAAAATTGAGCATATAGATAAGAGGAGGATTAGATCAGAGCATCAGAGCAGGGTCGCATGTATCTTTTTTTGCATTTTAAATATCTTGTCGAGATTGTAAATCTCTTTTGAAAGTCTTCCATTCCAAGACCTGTCCGGCCGGTGAAGGTCATCAATTTTTCTTTTTTTTGATGATGCAAGCAGGCGGCCGTGGCTGGGCTGGCAGGCGTCCAAAACACTGACCCATTCGGACCCCCAGCCTCTAGGGCAATAATAAGTTAGCACAACAAAAAACATAATTAAGCAAATGCAAGCAAAACAATCAAACAGCTTTCATTTGGGGGCTGCAGGTTTTTGAAAAAGCTTGCCCCTCAGCAGTTTCAGGATACAGTTGTCGGGAGGGGCGAGAAAAGTGGACAAGCTCTTTTATGGACAACTGCGACCACTTATATACATTTAGAGACTTAGAGACAACACTTTGGTGTAAAGCACAGCTTTGCAAACCAGGCCTTTGAGTGTCCATTGCGGGCACCCCTGTCGAAGCCTCTGGTACATAAGCTTTGCAATGGCACTTCAGCTGTCAATCTAGGCTACCCACCATCACCGGCAAAGGCGATACCTCCTCGCGAATCAAAGTCACAAGGCTACACAAAGTCTTGCGCAAACTCAACCGGTTTTGTGCAAAGCACCGCAAAATAGGACCACATAGTTGCAGAAACAACAAACAGGTCTTGTGTGTTGCGTAAAATCTGAAACACAACTCCACGAGGAAAAGTTTGGATATATTTTTTTGTTGGTGATCTTGGTTCCAAACTGATCAGCATGTTCAGGCGATATGAGGAAAAGTTGCGCGGCTACGCGTAAACACAGAGCCCAAAAAATGTTTGACGCATGGTTCCAGGTCTTTTTCCGGCGACCCCCACCTTCGTTTTCGACAACAGGTGCACACTTTAGCAGCCTGCACCGATTGAAATGGCAATATTCCCTCAGCTTTTGAGCCTTGACACGCGAAGATGTGCATGTCTGGATATGTGCGGATGTGAAGCTGTGCGGGTATTAAGATAATGTGCATGTCTAGGTGTGTGCAGGTGCGAAGATGCGCAGATGTGAAGATATGCATATCTGGATGTGTGCGGATGTAAGTTGCGATGATATAATGCTCATGGTGTTGCTCATGTGTTTAAAAGAAGAACCCTTCGCTCAGGCGCTCTCAAGGAAAAAAAACACACACTTCATTTTTCCTGCAAGCCTTCGCATTCTTTTGAGACAACACAATAACATCCTTCAGGTCCAAGACCGGTCCCAAGCAAATGTTGTAGCTGTCTCACCTGAAATCATCAGTCTACTCATGCCACTTTAAGCGGTTGTCACTGAACGCATAGAATTGCGTCAACTGTCACAACAACATTCAGAAACACGGTAAACTCTAAACAGCCTCCTGCTGCGCTTCAGCATATCTAGCAGATACATCAGCCAAGCGTTTCTCCTTTCACTTGGTCTTGAATGCACGCAATTCCCTCTCGCAACCATGCTCAAGGATCTCCTGATCTGCCAACTTGTCTTCCACAGCGGTCAAAGTGTCCGCAAGCTTTGAAGCCCTCACATTTTCCTCCGGCGAGAAAACTACGGGTGAAGATCAAATATGGTCTTCCTTTTTCCGGATGTTTTCACAAACTTTGTGTGAGGGGGCTTCTTGTGGGAGACAAAAGAAAAGAAGCAAATGAGCAACCAAACCTGTGCTTTCAACTTCCGCTAGTTTTTTCTTAACTTTCTATAGACACCCTACTTTGACTGGTACTTGCATTTCTTTGGGCACAAGGTGTTGAAAGTTCACTGGAACTTACATCGCATCAACTTCCCTCTGTACCACATTGATGTCCCATGTTGTAATAATTGTGCCTACTTGCCGCTTGCGGTCAACCTTCGCTGCTAATCGCAACACTGCGAACATCCCACGCGCATGTCTTGCTGGTATTTATAGGGATTTATAGGGCCTGGAGGGTGAGATCTTAGGCCAAACTCTTGCTGGTCTTCACAGAGATTAATGCGCCCAGTCGTCAACTTTTGCTGCGCTGCTGCGTGTTGGATACTGTGTTTCTTTTTTAAACACAGATACGTCACCAAACATCCAAAGCACCCTTCACAGCAAAGGACCAAAAAGTCCAAAAGGTTGCTGCCCACAGACGAAACCAATGGCTAACTCCACTGCCTGCGCCTGAGCCTAGATTTTTTTGAGTCAGCACTTTCTCTTGGTGGCTGCGACAACCCTGTATTCATGGTTGTCCTCTCTCTGTGAAGGCACCCACCCTTTGCCTGCCTTCATCCACATTTCCTTTGCATGCCCCAACAGCTGCTCTCTATCCTTCAACAAAACAATACTATGAAGATAAAGTTCGCAACGGCCCAAGCAGTTCATCATCTGTCCTTCAACTTCAACTCGAGCTGTTCAACTCTGAGTTTGTTGGCTCTACCCGCCTGCGTCACAACATGATGTATCGCCCCTGCACTTTCATTTATATAATTTTCCCGGGCAAATGTGGGCGCAGAATGAGGCAGAATGAGCGAAAAGCATCGGAAGACCTCCTTTTCATTGCGAAGGTCTTGTTCAGCCACCTGCAACGTAAACACCCGGCGCTTTCCAGCGCCATCGCACTGCTCCAGTGCCTCCAGTCGCTGGCTTAGATGTGCGCAACGAGATTCGAGGGCCTTGCAGGACGCATCGAGGACTCAAAGTGGCGCAAGGCCATGACTCAATCCTTCACAACATCTAATTCCCGTGACTAACCTATTTTTGAACAAGCCCTTCAGCACACCCCACACAAGCAGCAACTGCTAATTGGAAAGTGATTACTATACTGTATATGTTTGATGGCTGTGTCGTACCAAGAGCTTTTGCGATGGAACCAGAGTACGCCACAACAGGAGATGTCGCAGGCGACATGTGAGCATAGTAATGTGTATTTGGGGCGGTCGTGTAAATGAATCGAATGTCCGAACGCCCAACAGCCCACGCATTAGCTGGAATCGTGCCAAACCCTGTCATGGCCCTCGTGGCTGCTGGGATACACACCGAACAGGGTCGGATGATTTGCGCTGATCTCATCCTGACATCGCCACACTCCTGCGCGGTAGCATTCTTCTTGGGCGTTGAGGCATTGCCCACTGCCTGCGTTCCTGGCAAAATGCCCTGCTCATCTGTTCCAGCGCCCACTCATTTAGCATCGCCCTTGCCGAGTGCTTCTGCAATTCATCCACTTGTCCACGAATTTTGACCTCTGATGAACTTCTTTTCAAATCATCGTGCGTCCGCCTGTCTTCCTCTTCCTTCTCATCTTTCAAGCTCTCTTCGCCCTGCAACGAACGCCTCAAGCTGGATGATCTGCCACTGCATTCTGATCTTCTCTCCATCCTCCTCACGTTCAGGCTCTTCGGGCTCCTCCTTCCTTGTTGGTTGTCTCCTTCTCCCGCAACTCGTCCTCGGCTGCTGAATTTCACCCAATGGTCGTACGCTAGCCACGCCAATCTCAAGGCCCCAACTCAAGAAAAGCGCGTCAGTGTCAACAACCGCCAAACCCACCAAGGGATCGTCCTTCTCACCTTCTTGATCTTCCTCCTTCATCCCTGCTGCCTTTCCTCCTTTTACATTGACAACACTGGCGCCAAAGCAATCTTAGACAGCTTTTCTGTGGGCTTCTTAGGCTCTCCTGCGCCTGACCCCCTCATACGGTTTGCTCTTCCAATCTTTTGGTCGCCTTCATCGATCAACTTAATGAAGTACTTCAACCCGTTCACGGGAGCTTCGCTCGGGATCTTTGTGCCCAGGTGACTGCCAGATGGCTCGCGTTGAAAGGTGTGGGATCCCTGTGGAAAGAAGTCCTGCTGCTGCGCGCCTTACTTGACTTGTCTTTCCACCACTTGACATCCTCTTCGGTAAGGAATGTGTCCTCCAAACGTGCCCACATACTTGCTGCTTTCACCTGACGACAAGCAACGCAACGTCATCTCATCTCACGTAGCTTTCCAACAAACACCCACTCTGGACTGAACTCACGGGCGTCACGTTGTCCGGCAGGCTCTTCATCTTGCCACTCATGTACCTCCTCGTTGACAGTTAACACGCCCTTCCTTTCAGCCCATGCTCACATAGCAAACCGCATGAGCGATACTTGGGCGACAAACTGAACGCGCCATATATACAGCAGCCCACCTACTCCTACTCTACATCACATCGGCTGCAGACTCTGGCTCATCATCTTTATTACAGAGCTTTGCGAAAGCCCCTTCTCGGGGAGCGCGGCGGACTTTGCTGCGCTCAACACCTGCCACTTAATTTTGACGCGTTCTTGGTCTGGACGGACAGCGACGCCTTCATCTATTAACTCCATGTTCCTCTTCAGTAGCTGAAATTGTTGATGGAGTGGACCATGCTCCTCAATTCTCCAAGTCTTTGCGTCCGTGAACTGAACGCCGAGCAAGCTCCCTCTTGTCTTCTCCTCCTTTCTTCTCTTTCTCTTTCTCTTTCTCCTCCTCCTCCTCCTTCTTCTTCTTCGTGGTCAGCTGCATCACGTCCTGCTCCAGTCCGGAGTCCGAATTCACCAGTCACGGGGCAGAAGCCTTTCGACCACTGAGCTGCTGCGTTTGTCTGGCGCGCTTCAGCTTGTGTTTCGCGTTGGCGGCGACAATCGCTGATGGTGCATCCAGTAATGCATCTTCCGCGTCCAAGGTCAAGAGGGCCTAGCCAGTACGCGTCTGCGCGCGCAACTTCCTGACAAGCGCGAACGCTGACACGACTTTCCACGCGCCCATCTTTCCCAGCCTCCCTTCTTCATGCTTGCAGGCCAGCACAGGTCCTCTTCGCTCGCCTCCCGGGCGTCTCTCCTTTATCTTTTCGCGTTTACCCCTTTCCTCCTCGAGTGACATCATGTAGAACTGCTTGCAGGACCTCCTCCCAAGCATGTCATCACCCTTCTAGCCTTCTCCTTTGGACTCATGGCAGGCTGAATAGAATTCTTTCTTGGGACCTCCTTGCATCCAAGATTCTCTTCTTCCTCCTCCTTGGGACAGACTTTGGTAAGTTGTCGCTTGCATTGGCGGGAACCCATATACAGGCATCACCAAAAAATAAAACCTCCCAATCTCGTCTGCTGCTGGGATCAATGGATTGACCAGCATTGCTCTGGGATCTGGAAGTGTTCGATGGACTTTGCTTCCACTGCCCCAGTTCTTGCGAGGCAGATATGGCTGTCGCTCCAAGATACAAACGGTCCACCTTTGCGTTTCGAGCGCGACTTTGCCTGAATACTTGCGATCCGACGACGACCAGAGGACGATGACCCTGTTGCGCGACACGCGCTAAGCTGCGCGGCTGACAGATGAGCGCAGCAGCGCATGTCACCCGCATTCTTCACACCAGTCTTCTCCTCCTGCAAAGGCCCTGAGCGTGTTGGTAAACTGAACAGTGCGCACAGATTCAGCTGGCCGAGCATTGCGCAGCTGCATACTGAATCTTGCGAGCTTCTGCGACAGCGTCAATGAGGCGCTTCCTCTTGGCAACAGCCGGAACGCGCAATCTTTGGACTTGGGCTCGCTTCTCAACAAACGTTGTGTAAGTGTTTTCTCCGAGATCTTTTCGGCCACCCCGTTCTTCAACAGGTCGCTTGTCCTCCTTTGCGCCTGTGGCCACACATGGTTGGCACCATGCGTACATGGGAGATGAGTCAGGCGCCTGCGGCGTGTTGGCAGCTTTGGAACATTGACAGTTTCTGCGCAATCTCAACTCTCAACTGCCATCTTTTCTTCCTCTTGGTGTTTGCGCTGCTGCAGTTGAGCCCGACGTCGCCAACTTCTTGCACACTTCTTCAACTTGCTTGCAGCTGTGAGCGATTGCTCTGCAATCTCTTCCGCTGCAAGCGAAGGGATCTCTCCACCTTCCGTCGTCCGGTCACGACGAAAGTGCTCCGGACAGCAACGGATAATGGCTGATAGGGACCTATGACCTCATCACAAAGTAGTTCCAGATCAACCCGGGCGCAACAAAAGCGAATGTTGCCCTTGGCCCTGCTGCACTGCCGGGATAGCAATCGCGTGTCCTGGAACTCCACCACATTCTCGATCTGCTCTCAAGCTCCACTTCCATCTTGTAGTCGAAGTCGTCGGCGTCCACTGCTTCCAACGGGCGCCCTCTCCCTTTGCAAAAACCTACGCAGCTGGACCTCCTCCAAGTTGTCCAAGCTTGTAGAATTCGTCTGGAGTTTCAGATACATCCGCGCGCGAGTCGGGCGCCGTGACCATTCAAGGGTTGTATACAATGTTCTGCGCGATGCTCCAACTCCTCAACTCGCCCAACTCCTCAACGCAAACGTAGAAACATTCTTCTGAGCCCTCACAGCGCTGAGGAACTTGTTCATGTCACGTGTCATCTAGTCTTCAACCCTCAGCTCTTCGTAGGACCACAGTGGTTTGAACCCGAAAGAAGGTACGCGAGTCGCTCGGGTGGTAGCGTGGAAAGCGCACGTTTTGCGCGCGGTCTGGGCCTAAGTCCGCCATGTGGAAACGTGATAAACGTGTGTCCCTGACACATCAGCTCAAAACGTCAACAAGTTGGTCGTATGTGTATACATATGTATATATATATATATGCATATATGTTGCGCAGAGGCATCCAATCCTGCGCAAAGCCAACCAGTCTGCCCAGTCTTCGCCTAACTAGATGCTTTAGGATTAGCCATCACTGCGCTCAGAACATACGTCAACAATGACATTACTGTTACAACGCGCGCAACAGTTCCTTGTTTGCACTGAGGTGTACGTCAGCATCAATCACGAAGCATCGCGAAAAGCAACCTCCTTAATTATTTGAAGCCAGCAACTGCGTGAAGTCACCAAAGAATTTACGCGCATGTATATATATATATAACAAACTCAATGCCTTTTCTCTCTTCATACTGACTTCCCGTCTGCTGTCTGCCAGACATGATTGACTTGCATGACCACAGCTGAGGCGCATCCACATCCGCAGCAACTCCCCTGGTCGATGGAGGCACGTCCTGTTGCAACCCAAATCCAAATAGGACCAGGGATCGAGGCTTCGAAGCACTCTGCAGAAACACGCGCGCACAAGTGAAGCTTGCCTGAGAACACGCGCGCCCGTCATACATACGTACATACATACATACATACAATCATACATACGTAAATACATACATACATACATACAATCATACATACATACATACATACATACATACATACATACATACATACATTAATACATTACATACATTACATACACATTACATACATTTCCTTGCATTGCAGCACAGCGCATTGCATTACATTACCTTACACACATACATACATACATACATACATACATACCATACATACATACATACATACATACACATACAAACATACATACGTACATATGCCCATCCACCCATTCAACCATACACACATTTCAGCGCTGCAGGCAGGGTTTCGGAGAGAGCAGGCTCCACAACCTTCAATCCTTGATTCATACCTTTGGTCCAGTGGTTATAACAGCCTTGGACCATGATCGCGCAAAATTGAGTTTTTGGCGCACGTGTGGCCTGCAACAAAGTTGAATAGGTTTGCTATATACGAGTCATCCTCAACACAAAGAGACCGGTTCGCCAAACTTCAGCTGTGTCAGAAAGTCCTTCTCGTGGGAACAAAAGAAAGGAGAGAGCAAATCGTCGAGATCGGTCGGGGAACCATTTGGACACGTCAATGTTGAGCAGAAAACGGGTGAAATCTCAGAATCCTTTTCAACGAGGTGGGCAGAACTTCACGTGATTAAAGTCATCGTGAAGAGGTCCAAGCCTACATCACGTTGAGAGGAGGTCTGTCAAGCGCATGACAGGCTGGCTCAGCCGCAATCCAGACGCTGGTGTAATGTAAGGTACGCATGGGGAGGGAAAGGTGAGGGCAATCTGGATGAAGAGACCTGGGAGGCCAATATAGGCGCTGGCGATGAAGAATTCTCTGGAGTTGAAAGCGTCCGCTCACAGGCTTCTTCTCGAGAAGACGCGATCAGGCGGAAAAGGTTGCGAGAATGCCCTCCTTTCGAACAATTCTAGCAGTGATAGATATACAGAACAGCACCCCGCGTGGAACAAGTAGTTTCGGCTTCTGCGCGCGGCTTTTGCTCAAAGGATTGGGTCTTGTTCGGCCCCTGCGCATGCGCAGTGTCATGCGCAAGGCAAACGTCCGGCGCCAGGTCGGCAACGCTGGCTCAGGAAGGCACAGTGTGTTCGTCGGTGATCGAAGAGGGACGATAACATTCATGTTGAAGGGACTCTGCTCGTGACTGCCCGGCTGCCAGACTCCCTGGGTCACAGTCAAAAAGTTTCCCAGTTAACAAGAGATTGAGCAGACCTGCACTTTGAGCATCAACTTAGGGGACGAAAATAATGAAATTGACTTCACGCTCAAATTCCCCACAACAAGTTCCTGCCAGCATCGCCGCGATTTTGTTCGAAGTCACGCGCCGCCCCAAGAGCGAGCTAACCTGTCCAATTTTGAAGCTGAGCAAGGCTTGACTTCGAGACCTTTCAGATATCGTGAAGAAGACCTTATAAAACAAAAGCCACGCGACGAAGTTTGTTGCGCCACACACCGTTCCATCGCGCCCGAAACATCTGAGCAAGCATGAATCGCTTAGTTACGAAATTTGCTGAATCAAAGAAAAAGTTTGGTAACTCGCTTTGGCCAGATTGTTGCGCGAGCACCAAGTGAGTCGCGATCAGCGCTCTCACTGCGAATAGCCTCATGGATCACACACGTCGCCCCTGCGTTGTCTTGAACCAACCGCAGAAGACAAAGTCGAGCACTTCTGACTTTCGCCGAGTAGGGAGTCTGCAAGAACCTGTCTCAAGAACAGCTATCAGAAAATGGTTGCTTTTGTGTAACAGATCATGATCTTTCAACTGGAGCCATGTCCAAACACAAAGAATGTCTATCCGTTGAAAAACCTTCCGTGAAATTAGAAGACCAAACGAAAAAGCCGGAAACAGCAAACCATAACAAAGCAAAGCAGAGAGAATCGGCGAAGAGAGCGCCCGAGGCTTGGAACCTACGTCGGAAGCTCAACGCCGTGGACCTTAACCTTGAAAGCGTTCTACACACAGCTAGGATGCAGTTCGGAAATCAACGACATGCCCACGCAGATCTCGGGCGTTCGACTAGCGTAGAGGTCAACGGGCCAGGGATTGCAAAAAGCAAGCGCACACCCCACCCCGACAAGGTTTCTGGGGCGTAGAAGCATGGGTGACATCAAATCGACCAACCATGTACGCAAGCTATTCTTCTTCTACCACTTCGACATTTTATGTTGCCCAGCGCTCCACTTTACTTTAGCCACAGACAGCCCCCCCCTCATCACTTAGAGGATCCAACGCTGCCGATTGGACATCTAAATCTACACACGACAATGTTTTGTACAAAAAGTTGTCGTTTTTTAGAAAACGCTCTCGTTTCCATCGCATAAAGTCAATAGCGCATTTAAACCTTTTACGGCACCACGGGTGTCTACATGTAGATATATACGGCGCGCGGTGGGTGAGCAGCCCCACACTAGCTTAGCGTTGGCAACGCAAACGACAACGGTGGATTGCAATGATGGACACATGATCACATGATGTGATCTGAGCAATTCACGCATTGCGTTGCAAAATGTTACGGCTGCGTGGAAAGGTGTCAAAAACGACAGTGATGTGGACGTTGTCGTTTCCGTGAAGCGGTGCCTGCCACAATGACACATTGCAGGGCGCTGTCGTTTCCGTGAAACGGTGCCGGTTACTTTGACACGGCGCGTGTCACTGCAAACGCTGTCGCTTCCGTGAAACGGTGC